CGTCTCGAGGCATCGCGACTTAATCGTGTCCCGACTGAGCTCGACGCCCCGACCGACTCACCGGCGACATTCGGAAAAGAACTTCGTCAACATCCGTTTCTGAGCGCTCATCGGCCGCCTGGCGGCCGCAAGGAAAACTGTCTGCATCTCCGCCGGCGGTCCATCCATACCCAGCCTGCAACTTCGGCCACCCTGCACCTATGAGCCGGGGGGGGGGGGGAGTGGGGAGGGGGTAGAGCTGGACCTAGGAGCGCTGCGTCACGCCGGGAGTGAGTGATCCGCGCCCGCCGCCCCGTTTGAACACCGTGTAAATGCCCGCTCTACATTAGTGTGTCGGCGCCTGTCAATGTTTGCGCCGGGCACACGGCGCGAGAGACGCTGGGTTAAGGCTGCCGAGGTGGCGTAGAGGCCGTGAGCCCGGCACGGGCACAGCGGCCAGCGCCAGCGGAGATGTCTGACAGAGCGGAGATGCCTGGCAGCTGGCGGCCAGCGCCAGCGGAGATGTCCAGCAGCTGACGGCCAGCGCTAGCGGAGATGTCAGTACACTAGCGGCCGCCAGCGGAGGTGTCAGTCAGCCGGCGGCCAGCGCCAGCGGAGATGTCTGGCAGCTGGCGGCCAGCGCCAGCGGAGGTGTCAGTCAGCCGGCGGCCAGCGCCAGCGGAGGTGTCAGTCAGCCGGCGGCCGGCGCCAGCGGAGATGTCCGGCAGCTGGGGGCCGGCGCCAGCGGAGATGTCTGGCAGCTGGCTGCCAGCGCCAGCGGAGATGTCAGTCCACTAGCGGCCGCCAGCGGAGGTGTCAGTCAGCCGGCGGCCAGCGCCAGCGGAGATGTCCGGCAGCTGGCAGCCAGCGCCAGCGGAGATGTATGACAGCTGGCGGCCAGCGCCAGCGGAGGTGTCCGGCAGCTGGCGGCCAGAACGAACGGAGAGGTCTGACAGCTGGCGGCCGGCGCCAGCGGAGATGTCCGTCAGCTGGCGGCCAGCGGAGATGTTCGTCAGCTGGCGGCTAACACCAGCGGAGATGACTTTTAGTGAACTATCAGATGCTGTCGCGCTGTAATCGGTGTCCGTTTAGGGGAAGGTCACCTGAACGGGTAATATTGGAGAAATAGTCCATTTCGAGGTCGATTAAGGCATCCAGAAATCATGCAGAATGTATGCAAAAAGTAAAAAACAATGGGTTACGAAGTTCTGAGACCAGGATGTTAGACAAGTGAATGGGCCACCAACTGGTGCCTAACCGTTCTGAACCGCGACGAAATGTCTTAATAATCTCACTGACAGCGTTGCTTCTTATTACGAACAGTGTCTCTTTACGAGATCTTAATTTTGCGAGACCAAGATCTCGATCTCGCAGATGCTCTAATGGCGCTTTCTTTCCATTCGTGCAGCTGCGAGCAGAGGACAACACACTCTTTTGAATTCTGGAAACACCGGTTCAGTGCCGGCTTTGATCGATCCGGCCGTTGAAGCAATCCATCTAATCCATCCCGAAAAGCGCGAATCAATCCATCCCGAACAGCTCGCGTCTGTTATCCGATCTACGACACCTTTCTTTGAAGAGGTTTAGCACGACGGCCGGCTAGGTGTGAAAGCCTGACAGACATGGACAGATGGTCCCACGCGGTGAAAGACTAGCCTGCAACTGATTGATCGGTCTGCGACGGCCACTTCCGCCGAACGGAGCAAAAACGCGCTGTAAATCCATCCTCACTTGGCACCGGTGCGATGTTCTGTAGTGGCACTATCATCCGAAATCCGACTGAAACGAACCAGACACACAACTGCACGCCATCGACAGCGATCTGTACTTAGCATTGCAGCTCGGTGACAAGGCCCTTCTGTCTGGAGTCACCCGAAACTAATAACGCATCAGATCTGCTCCTGTGTCGCCGCCAGTGCCGTAGTGTATCCACATCGCACGTCGCTTAGGGGCGTGACGCTGCGAGCGTGCTTCGCCGCATCAGCTCCAACGATGTTGACAGTGGAAGACACCATCGGACGGCTTCGGTGGCGGACAGCAGCGTCGTTTTCAAAACAAGAATATGTCCGTGAAATAATGGATAGCCTTTAGGAATGCGGTTCTTGCGGCCGCTGTGGGCAAGGCAGGAATGGCACTAGATAAGCTCGGTGTGCTGATATTCTGGCTCGTAAGCAGCCATTCTCAATAAACCATTAGTTCAATCCTCGGCGTCCTTGGATTCTCGTACTCAATGTGTGCTCTAGCATCTAAGAATGTGTGGAACCGGCCAAGACATTGCAATGCAAGAGAACACTAGCAGAGGCTCCGCAACAGCCTGCCACTGAGCTGGGCATCCAACTGGGCCCTTTTGAACCCAGCTGACGGACGAGTCGAACAGCAGGCCTTCACCCACCTGTGCACCTTCCAACTCGTATAGGTAATGGTCCATTGCGAAGCACGTACCGAGCTGCTGTGGAGGCGGTCCCAACATCATAGGGAAGAAGGTCGGCTGCGGAGCTGGAGACCCAGTTGGGCTCGTCTGACCTCGGGCGGGCGAGCGTGTGTTGAACAGTTGCCTACACCCTCGGCACACCTGTCAGCCTGCTCAGGTAACGTTCCACAACAAATGGTTCGTCGAATCGCCGTGTAAACGCATGACTAAGGGGCACGGAAACCCGTCTGCTCTCATGTTTGGGTGGGAATGTTTGTTAATACGGGTAGCCGTTGATGCAAACATGCGAAAGGGGCAATAAAACGAATGTCGACGAAACCCTCACATCCTGTGATGGAAAGCTTGAGGGACAGCTATACTGCAAAATCGTGTGTCATTCGTTAGCCAAAGCACAATGAACATTCTTAAAAGCAAAAGTTTTAGTTGCTTTGGTTAGAATATAAAGAAGCCCATGTCGGTGAGAATGTACTGACTTCGAACATAAGTGTCACTAGCGGCACACTAGATTTCTGAAAAGAATATAGTGCGGAAAGCACACTTTATTTTACACCGTTTCTCTTTTCTAACTGCATTTGTCGCAAGCCGATTTGCCAGGGTAATACGCATTTCAGAGCCCGACTCGACGACTACTAAATGTGATCAACGGATAACGTTTGTTACTTGCCGTGACCTTTGGGCTTCTTCATATTCTAACCAAAGCAACTAAAATTTTTGCTTTTAGGGATGCCCAATTTGCTTTGGTTATGCGCTCCAGGTCGCCGTTCACGCTGGTGGTAAGCCGTCGAGATCATCATTGGGATCAATCCGTCATCAATGACGACGATCGAAAAACGGTGACACAGTCGTCAGTTCACATGACACCTTTTCCACACGCGTAGAGAACTTTGACACCTTTTCCACACGTGTTGAGAGCTTTGACACCTTTGACACCTCACATGTCACCTTTTCCACACGCGTTCGAGCGCACAGAGAGCTCGCGCCCCAGCACCGCCAGCTGATATCACGCCAATCATTGGCGGATCGCCGCCGAATTAATTCCATTCACGCTACGCCGCCGTCACAATATGACACGGTTCGTCTGGCAGCACGCCCTTCACGTACATATGTTACGGCACCGAGAAATATTAAAAACGCGGCGCGAGCCCACCTGACAGCGCGGCCTTATTGTGCCGCGTGATGCCGTGTCATTGGCACAAAGCCAAGCCGGGGGTACGGCTGGGGAGAGGGGCCCCGGGCTCTCTGTCGGTGATGGTCCCTCCCCCTGCCTCCCCTTCCCGCCGACGTCGCGCTTCGAGAAGCATTGTGAGGGGCAGTGACGGTTAGTGTGGTCGTCCTGTGTGCGTCAGAGGCTCAGTTACGCGCTGTCTGAAGCTGGCAGCTCGTGGTCGTACTGTCTGAAGCTGGCAGCTCATGGTCGTACTGTCCGGAGCTGGCAGCTCGTGGTCGTGCTGTCCGGGGCTGGCAGCTCGTGGTCGTACTGCCCGGAGCTGGCAGCTCGTGGTCGCACTGTCTGGACCTGGCAGCTCGTGGTCGCCCTGTTTGGAGCTGGCAGCTCGTGGTCGTACTGTCTGGACCTGGCAGCTCATGGTCGTCCTGTCCGGAGCTGGCAGCTCGTGGTCGTACTGCCCGGAGCTGGCAGCTCGTGGTCGTACTGTCCGGAGCAGGCAGCTCGTGGCCGTTTATCTTCTCTTCTCCTCTCGATCGCTTTGGTTGATGCTGCTTGCGCCGGCGGTGGTGGGCGGAGAAAGGCACACCAATAATATGTCGCCCAGACCCCGTTTCCGCACCCTCACAACTGTATTTACGACTAATTTCAAATCGAGCAGGATTTTACTCCCAGTGTATTTTATCTCCTGCAGGCCATTTAACGCCATTTGATTGTAAATTGATAGTGTATTCTGGCAGCTGTATCCTTTCGACGAATGCATACAAATGAACCGTTGTTTATGGCTGCAATCAAGAAAGTAAATTGAAAAGGTAGTGACGACGCTGAGCTCTAAAAGTTGCGAGTAAAATACGACTTAAAGGAGCAGCAAACTGTAGCCTGTGCCAGTTTGCTTCAGTACTACGGCCATGCCATGTCCCATCCTTGTTTCATTTGGCTTGAACCACCGAAGTCGGTCAAAAATACGTGTTTGTTACGTTACCCGGAATCTCATTCGAGCATTTAGAGCCTTTATCAGTTGGTGATACTTCGATGCGGTGAAAATTAAACGACATGATTTTCACGCACGTCACAAAGCGTGTTTCAAGTGGGTTTACAAATAGCATAATATTAAAGGCAATTGACTGTTGCTACAACTGAAACAACCGGGCCTGCGAAGGCTACTCGATGTCCTGGGAAGAACTGCTGACATTGGAAAACGAACTCATCTTCCAGCCCGATGTCTTCAATAAGACGTCTTTAAAGAACGTGCTTGCACGTGGTGCCTTAGCAGATAATTGATTGGTGCTTGGACGTGCAGACAGGCACCGAGAGCCACGACGGACGAGTAATTGCTTTATCGCGCTCATGCCCAGCTCAGCGCTGGCCCGCGGTTCCCAACAGCGAACGGATCAGCTCCACCAGCGTCAGATGCCTGGCGCCGGCTCAGCGCTGGCCCGCGGCCCTCAACAGCAACCGGATCAGCTCCACTAGCGTCAGCTGCCTGGCGCCGGCACAGCGCTGGCCCGTGGCTCTCAACAGCGACCGGATCAGCTCCACCAGCGTCAGATGCCTGTCGCCCGGCTCAGCGCTGGCCCGCGGTTCCCGACAGCGCGACTGGATCAGCTCCACCAGCGTCAGCTGCCTGTCGCCGGGGTCAGTGCTGGCCTGCGGTTCCCAACAGCGACCGGATCAGCTCCACCAGCGTCAGCTGCCTGACGGCTGTCTGCAGACGTGCTGCTACCATTGCCTGGGGCGTCCTCAGTCGCCATCCGGCCGTTAGCCCGGGGCGATCGCCGTGGGGGGGGGGGGGAAGGGGGCATGGCGGTCTGATCAGATTCACACATCGCCCGCGCCCAGGATGGCACGCGTGCTCCGACATCACCCGCCTCGGGTTGATCAGATTCGGGCGTCCTGCAGCTCCGGGGTGGTCGGATTCGCACATCCCTCACCTCCGCGAGCGGGCGGCTGCACGTATCACCGGCCGCCTGGGGCGATGAGGCTCGGGTGTCCCTCCCAGCGGCGCCAGACGCCGCCGGACGAGCCCCAGCCGCGCCCAACGACCCTCACGTCACCGATTGGCATTCTCAACCGGCGCGGTTTATGGCCGGGCCGCGTCTATTGTTCAGAGATGAGCGGCCGAGTGGTCGAACAAGGCGTCGTTGCCCCGCTAATATTCTCAGGCGCGGCGCGGCCGTAAAAGAGCGCCATGTTGGACATCGGTACCCCAATCAGCGGGCGAGGCGGCGGCGCGCGCCGCCAGGGGGCGGGACCTGTCTGCCGAGGTCAAGGGGTCACCGGAGCAGACGCACGCATCGGCAGGAGGGGGGGGGGGGGGCTGGCGCTGGATAGTAGTGCGCTATCCCTGTAAAGGCTGCCGACGCGCCACTTTCGGGGAGAGGCGTCACGTGGCGCAGGTGCCCCGGAGGCGTCCATTAAGCAGCATTTGTTCTCGCACCTGGTTGTAAATTCAACGTTAATGGTCGGATCTGACCGGGGCGTCGATAAAAGCCCAACAAACAAAGCAGCCTGCGAGCTGGAGCTGTCAGGACAGCGGTATAAAATGCGGAAATGCTTCAGGTCGCGCGGCGATGCGCCAGCGCACTGACTCTTTCCCCGCCAAAATAGCGATGCTGTAGGTCCACACTACCACTGTAAAGATATCTGCCCCTGCAAAAGCTTGATGCGAAGATATTTGTCAGAAGATAGTCAGGTGCCTCAAGAAGGAGATTTTGCGGACGGGGTGTGAAGTCGCTGAGGATATCGAAATGAACGGATGGCGTCACGCCGGCGTGCAGCCTAAAGTGCACCGCGACGGCGCACAGGCTACAGTGCGCCACGACGCCATCAAATGCGCCACGTTTGAGTTGACGTTTGTGATCATCAGACCAGTCCGCCAAACAGAGCCAGCAGAAGCCGACAGTCCGGCGTGATCACATCATTGGTCCCTTCCAGCGAGCAGTGGTGTTTGGGAGTGCGTTCAGCCAGTTCATGCACCCGAGGCCTGTCTCCTTGTCGCTGAACATGTGCTGGTTGAATACGGTGGCGGAGGTGGCCGGTGCCCAAGGGATCAGTGTGCGTTGCTCAGCCCGCAATCTTGACCCCTTGCCCCTTAAAACTTTGAAAGGGTTTGCTCTCGAAACCCGTGCAATGCCTGTTGGGATGAACGGAGGGACTTTGAAACATTCCAGCTGCTGGGCATGCAGGGTCAGTCAGGACGGAGACAGCGGAAGACTATTGAGGACGCGACAGCTAGCAATCATAGGCAAAACTTTGGCTTACTTCCTCCCAAAAACCTCATGCTTGTGTCTGAACACGCACTCGGGTGGGGGTCAATTTGACCCCCCAAAGGTTTTTCCGGAATAGTTCTCAACAGCGCGGTGTAGCCGCGCCAAACTTTGCGTAGCTAAAGATAATTGAATAGTGGATCGTGTAGGAGTTTTAGTTTAACTGGTAAGGTCACTGGCCTGCGGTAGATCAAAGTTAGAGCATGGTTTCAGCGAAGACAATTTCTAGGGAGTCGTTTAATCTGATGCAACAACGAAGTGTTAGACGAAGCCATACATCTCTGTGATGGTTTCCTAAGCCACAACAACTGAACTAATCAATTCCATTGACCTAGGGTGAGGCATATAGGTCAGACCAAGGTGAAAACTAGCCTGTCTTATCACTCTAGAGCTTGCCGTATGGGATAGTTTCTGGTGCTCACTTTGAATTTATAAATAACAGAAACCGCAACATACATTCGCCATGGACTTCTTAAAAGTCAGATAGGTCACTGATCTAAAAATGACCCAGGTCAACATTTTGCTTTTGGGAACATAGTGCCTAGCACAATCCCTGACGCTTATTCAAACGCAAATATCCAAGCGCCAGTGACCTTTTGCTTAGATCCGGTATTTAAGCTCACAGTGGCTGCATGAGAAGGTCTGGGGGCACTTTGAATACTAATCTTGAGTTTGGCCTGGTTTGACTTTTTCGACCTGAAAATCATGATTTAGGAACCTAAATTTTGTCACAAGTGTGTGCACATATAGGCCAACACGCCCTGTGAATTTGGTGTCTCCAAATCTCTTAGTTTCCGAGATATCAGCGGGGTCATATTTATCCACTCCCCACCCGAGCGAAGGGCCAACCGACCACCCGGGTGCGTGTTAGATCCCACATTTCGTGGTGGCCTGCCTTATGCATGCAGGCCGTGACCTTGAGCGGCCACTTTGACTTTAGATTAACTGTTTTGGGCACCTCTTTATCGCAGCATAATGCCCTGAATGGCCAGGCTGCTATTAAAGCACAGCGGATTAAGATGGTATGATGCAATACAAATGCAGGCACCGTTCGTTGCAATGCAATCGACGAAATCAACGCTTCTTATTTTGACGGGGCAAAGATTGGGCCCTAGATTCGTTGCTCTGAACCATAAAATGTCCAAGAGACAATATAGTATATTTATTTCCATATACAGCATTACAAAACAGCAAATAGATACACCTATGTGTCGTTCCATATGTATACTATCTACAGAAAACAAGAACAAAACAAAACCGAACTGCAAACGAAGCCAGTAATTGTGTGCACGAGTCATACCACAACAAGCATAAGCTAATATCAATGACGGGTGTGGCCGACACAAGCCTTGCCCGGCCGGCTTACAAATGCTCGCAGCTGACTACAGTTCAATACTGGGACCGGCTGACCACGGGAGCCGCGTTCTCCTCCGCCTGGAACAGTGTCTGTCCCCCGCCTGGCCGAGCCGGACACACGGAGTGTTCACCCGGACAGGGCGTCCGGGCACGGAGACTCCCGCCGGACACCACTGTCTGCCCGGGCGCCAGAGCTGTCCGCGGACACGCCCGTTCGTCGGACAGGGCGACTGTCCGCCCGATCCGACAACCACCAGCCCCACAATGGCCATACGTTCGGGGCGTGAAGACTGTGACGTGGGAAACGTCTACCCTGAAGACCGTCCGGCGGGCGCGGAGACCGTCCGGCGGGCGCGGAGACCGTCCGGCGGGCGCGGAGATCGTCCGGCGAGCGCAGAGACCGTCCGGCGGGCGCAGAGACCGTCCGGCGGGCGCAGAGACGGTCCGACGGGCGCGGAGATCGTCCGGCGGGCGTGGAGATCGTCCGGCGGGACGCTGAGACCGTCCGGCGGGCGCGGAGACCGTCCGGCGGGCGCGGAGACTGTCCGACGGACGCGGAGACCGTCCGGCGGGCGCGGAGACCGTCCGGCGGGTGCGGAGACCGTCCGGCCGGACGCGAACACAGCGGTGTGAGGTCCGGACTCCGCGGCGCCGCTCAGTGCTCGGCCGCCCCGGGCAGCGCCGCGCTGGAGCCGCATCAGAACCGTAGCCGACTCTTGCCGGCCTCCTCCTTACGGCACAGCTCGGAGACGGAGAAGCGCTCGCGGGGCGAGAGCGCCGCTCGCGGCGGCGAGGCGGGCGGCGAGGCGCGAGGCGGCGAGGCGGCTGGCGGCGGTGGCGAGAGCCGGCCCAGCGCCGAGCTGCTGACGGTGCTGACCTGCGCCAGGCCGCGGCCGCCAGCCGTCAGCGGCGCCAGCGGCCCGACGCCCAGCGCTGCCAGCGAACTGACAGGGTACGGCCGGCCCAGCCACGGCTTCAGCGGGCTGAACGCCGACGAGTACGGGTACAGTGGCGACGCGTGACTCGAGATCTTGGGCAGCGGCGGGAAGCAGGGGCTGAGGAGGCTCGGCCGCTCGCTGCCCGACATGGCCGTGTGGGCCAGCGACCAGATCCGCGGCTTGGGCGTGTCGTCGGGCTTGGCGGCTGGCGGGCTGGCCGGCGCCGGCTTGGAGGGCGTGCTTGGCTCACCGGCCTCCGAGACGCCTGGCGAGATGCTGCCGCTCGAGCTCTCGCGGTCGCTGATCCGCACCGAGTCCTCGGCCGCTTCTGCAACGAGGGAGAGAGCGGCGTCAAGCGAGAGGACCGCGAGGGGAGAGCGGGAAAGGCAAGAGCGACAGTTGCCCGACGGCTCTCTCACGCATCGAAAACTACGGCGGCAATGAGGGGACCGTGAAAGCCATGACGTTGTCGTTTGGATGGTTGTCCACAGTCAGACCAGTACTTTCACAGTTGCCAGGCTTGCATGAGAAACGGTGCGAAAGTACTTGAACGGAGAATCACACGCAATGATTTGCGCACGTAAAAATACAGCTATCTCACCAGTACCCTTGCACGACTGGGAGGTTAATCGGCACGGAATCATACGACCTGTCAGACGGCATTTGGTCGCCATCGGTTTTCCGCACGCACGCTGCCCCTCCACGCGTCACGCCGGGTGGTCTGATCTCTGTGTCATGCAAGCTCAGTTGACAAGCTTCAGGAAATGGAACGGGGCCAAACGGCCACGGGCTCGTCTTTGCGTGCTTATATTTATATGACTAGGCTGGATGAGCTGGGTAGTGTGCTCGTTGGAGATAGGAGCTATTTTTCGGGCGCCGATAAAAACGCATTTTAACACCCGTCGACACTAGGAAAAATAATGTTGTAGGAGTGGATGGCAAAGATCATGGCGAAATCTGCGCGCGATCATCATGGCTCTCAGCGATTTTCCGTGAATTCTTTCGTGGCAGCGCTTGTGACCTGATGATCACGTCATGCGAACTCAGCTTCGTTTGCTGACGCCACGGTTGCCTCTCAATTATTCTCGACACACACGCTCGCCTCCCAATCATTTTCGACGCACGCGATCGCCTCCCAATCTTTTTCGACGCATACGATCGCCTCCCAATCATTCTCGACGCACATTTACCATCTCCTGGCCTTTTTCATCGTCTCTTGGACAAAACATTTATCCGTGAGTGGCACTGGCTGCCGACAACGGTTCTCTCCAGCTTTACGTGGCTATAAAAGAGCGGTATGAAGGGTCCGTAGCAAGTGCAGGATCGTTTGTATGCAGCGCGCAGGCGCCCCCTGCATTATCGATTACGGCTTGTCCTATTGTTCTCCTGTTTCACTATGTTCTTGGTATGTCGGGAAACGCGAAGTGAACTACTGCACACGTCGGAAACTCTTTACATGATGATATGGTGTCTAAAAGGGGAGACGTTTAACATTGTGGCGTAAATGCAAAGCTATCCCATAAAACCCCACCAAGCAATGCCCGGATCAGCAATTTCTTGACCTTCGCCCCCTTTGTAGGTCACCCCTTGTGTTCACAGACACCCATCTGCCTCGAATTCAGCTAATTATCCCAATATTCATGCACTACTAGTGGTGCAAACGGCTAAACAGCGGACATCAGGAGCAAAAAGTAGCGGGGACTGGCCGCAAAAACGGCGCTCCTGTCTGACCGCGGCGCCACCGAGTCGGGCCCGGACTGACCACCGAGACGCTTCAGAGGAGCCTCAAAGGAGCCGCCGGGAGCCGACACAGCCCCGGTCCGGGAGCCGGCATAGGCTCGGTCCGGGAGCCGACGCAGTTTCGGTCTGGGAGCCGACACAGCCTCGGTACGGGAGCCGACACAGCCCCGGTCCGGGAGCCGGCATAGGCTCGGTACGGGAGCCGACACAGCCTTGGTCCGAGAGCCGACACAGCCTTGGTCCGGGAGCCGACGTCAAGCCGCATTGGAGCGTCAGCGAGCGCAAGGTATGATCCGACACGGCCACAGCGGATCGAGACCAGAAGACAACACAGGATCCGAGCCACCAGAAAACAGGGCAAAGCAGCAAACCAAGACCAGCGACGCTAACATGGCCAGACAACTCCCGAGCAGCCGTGGCTATAGCACCGCGATAACCTGGGCTGGGATGGACGAGAACATCACGGAGCAACAACGGATCGGGACAAAAGGTTACTACGGATCGACAGCAACTCCTCATACTGCTGTCCTACTAAAACGCAAGAAATGGAAAAAGCTAAAGAAAATCTGGAGAAATCTGAACCTCAAAAGAGCGTGTGCAATGCCACGGAGTGGCAAAGGGTCCAAAAGATCAGCTCTGATGTTCCAGGAGATGCCTCTGCGCTTTGTGATGCACTTTGCACCATGTCTGGACAAATGGGCAGGGCACTTATTGCTCATTATTGACAGATATAAATTATGTCTGATTAGCTTCTCAGCGACGGTGGAAGGGCTGTCGTCATCAGCTTGAAAAGTGTCGTCCAGGAGATCCAGCGATGAGCCGCGGTTTGCCAGCCACGTAGGAAGGCGTCGCATTAAAAATCGGCGAGATACATCATGTGGGAACTGTGTCCGCATGCTTTCAGCTGTGTTTTCCAGATGTTCTGCCGCGGGTAAAAGTAAGAATTGCATACCAAACGCATAGCACAGCTTGGCATCTATTTTGCATCAGCTACACAAATGAGGAAACCCTAAACGCCTTCGCTTGAAGTAACAACACGTCATTCGGTGAGCCCGGCTACACCTCGACGTCAGTGGCCGCACCTCGCCCACACCTCGGCCACACCTCGGCCACACATCGACGTCAGCGGCCACACCTCGGCCACGCCGCATCATCAGCGGCCACACCTCAGCCACACCAAGGTCACACCTCGGCGTCAGTGGCCGCGCCTCGGCCACACCTCGGCCGCACAACGGTGTCAGCGGCCACACCTCGGCCACGCCGCAGCATCAGCGGCCACACCTCAGCCACACCAGGGTCACACCTCGGCGATCAGTGGCCGCACCGCGGCCACACCTCGGCCGCACAACGGTGTCAGCGGCCGCACCTCGGCCACACTAGGGTCACATCTCGGCATCAGCGGCCACATCTCAGCCACACTTCGGCCACACCTCGGCCACACCGCCGCGTCAGTTGCCACACCTCGGCGTTGGCCCTTCCCACCGCGGCCGCGGAGTTCGCGGGACAGGGGTGGGGGACCGCTCTCCGCTGTGGGACCCCGCCATCTGGCGCAGTGTCCAGATATTGCGATAGCGTTTATAGTGTGACTCCGGCCGCTGGCTCCGGCCTGCCGGCGTGGCGTTCAGGCCCGGATTCAGGGATGGGGAAGGGTCGCCCTTATTTCTCCACGCTCGCTGAGTTTACGCATCCTTGTAAGAATTACGCTTCGGCCAGAACACCACGCGATGATTCATGTAGGTCTTGTTGTGGACCTCTGGACGGCCCACTGACCGGTCCTGGATCCGCCCTTGGCGTCAGTGTTGAGCGTGGAGAAACGAGCCGGTCATCTGTGCTTGTTTGAGCAGTGCTTAGCAGAGCTTAGTAAAACAAGCCGCAGAGTGGTGCACGCAGTGCTGAGCAAGAGCAAATACGCAAATACGCATGTGCAAGCATGATGTAATAGGATCAGGGTACAGAAAACCACATGCATCCCTAGATTCAACACGAATGAATGCATGTCTGCATGGAATACTCTTTTAAAATGTTTGTGAGTTCACATGGCAACACACGGCACGTCCGTCTTTGATCACAGCAGAAGTCAAAAGTACGCAACATAACTGCGGCTTTATGCAAACTACAGTTAAAGTCAAAAAGGTAAACGCACCAAAGATTTTTGAACAAGCATAGAACTGTGCTGAAGTCTAGCTGGCACATATATCTGCAAAATATTCTCATTTTGATGAATTGGGTAAAAGATTTCGTCCTAAGAATTAACAGCAATTTTTCCTATTCAAACACATAAGAAAACGCTGTCTCGTTTAATGCTGTGTATTATCTCGATCATCGCCCATTTTATCACTCCATACCACCATCTGGATTAGCGAGACAGCGGCAGAATCTACTCCAATTAGTCAATTACGACGCCCCGATAAAAGCCTGTTTGGCGCCAGCTCTCCAGATATCTGCCTGGTCTCTGTAGCTGCCGGTCTGGGCGCTGGCTCGCCTGAGAACAGCCCGCCCGCCTCCTCGTCACTTCCGGGCGCCGTAACGACAGTGAAAAATACGTGCTCCACCCCCCGGCACTCGCGGCATAATGTCACACTGGCTAACCTCTATTAATGACAACGATAACTTTGGCCGCAGCCATAACCGAGGCAACAACTTCATCCCGAACGACCTCCGAGATGATTGAGCTCCATTAGGCTCACTTTCAATGAGGGATGTCGTAAATAAGGCGACTGATACGGGGGGAATAATAAAAAGGCTCGCTGTCATATGAATTTGAGAGAAGAATGGGGCGAATGCGGCGGGGGAGAGCGCCAGAGCGCAGAGAGAGGGACGGCGAGGCGTGAGAGGGGTCGTGAGCGCGGCTGGGGAGCGCAAAAGCAGCCCTAACTGACGGCCGGCCGGCTGGGGAAAATTAAATTTAATGGGCGACGACGACGAGAGAACGTTGCAAAAAGGCGCCCTAGCTGGCCCGACGCTCCCCGCGTAATGGCCGACCATTCTTTGAGCCAGTGTGCCGCGCCTTCGCACACTGTCGCACGCTGTGACGCCAAACTAAGAACACCGTCCACGCCAAAACGGAGCCTCATCGCGTCGAACAACTTATATTGGCAGCGTTTCCGCGCTGCCGATTTGTTTCCGCGGCCTCGCGCGACGCCGTAGCCTCTACGCGGACTGGAAGCTCGCGCCACGTGTGGTGGACGGCGCGAACGCCTCTGCTGCCCTATCCGCTGATATATGTGCCGGCCGCGCGCGTTCGGCCGCCGCCACAAAGCGACGGAAGTGACTTGTAAAATGCGCTGGTGGCGCCGTGAATGGTCGCAGCCGCACCGGTAACGCGATCGGCCCACAAACCGACACCCGTCCGCCGATAAAATACCGGGCGCCCGGCCACGACCGCGGCCCGTAAATCTGTCCAATTAGACGACTTTGTGACCTCATTATACGCGGCTCCATTATGAGTTGACACGCTCGGGAGCCCGGGAATGGGGGATGAGCGCGTGGCGCGCCGACTGTGGACGCGCTAGAAAGCTGCCGTCTGCTTTACCCGGCGCTCGAGCGGCGTAAATGTGCACCTGCGTGTGAATACGCACAGAACGCGGA